TTCAGAAAATGCAGTTAAAGAAATCCAAAGCCTCGAACATCTCATATGCCGCTAGAACTAGGCGTTCTTGACTTTCTTGAAATTATTCTTCTAAGAACAAAAAAATCCTTGCCATTTCAGCATCATGAATGTCAGACCAAAAACTGCTTTAACCAGCTTGCAGTTCCAATAATCAAGCATAAAATACAACAAATCAGTTTAAAAAAGTTCTCTTTCAGATCCGCACAATAATCAAAGCCAAAATTAAAACAACAAAAAAAAAAAAGTAGAGAAAAGTGACAATGTTCTTGTCACAGCACCATTTTTAAATGCAATTTTAGTCAGAAAATCAAGCAGTTAAATCTTTAGCTTATCCCATAAGGTTGAAAATCTTAATTCATTCGCAAAAGTTAGTCCCCAGACTAACTCTGATACAGAATGAGTTATGAATTACAAAGCTGTATAACAGTGCAGCTACAAAAGTTTTTTATACCTTTATTGCTAGTCATCACCATGATGAACAGTGAGTGTCTGACAGTGTTAAAAGACAAAAGGGTTTCTTGTTTGTTTCATCTTTACGTCTTTACAAAGGGCCTTTCAATGCAAACTGTATAAGAAAAACAAGATGCGGAAAAATATGGAGAAATTTAACAATTATGGTTGACAACCTATAGAGTTTTTCTTATTCCAGACCGCAAAAGTTTTGGTGTTGCAAAAAAGAACCAAATTAGGAGTTGCATTCTTTGCCGTTGTTCGCCTGCAGTAACTTAGGTTTCTCTTTGGTAAGCTACACTATTTCATCTAGCCATAGTTTAGCTAAGGAAATATGGAAACCGTTTTCTTAGTCACCTTCTATTTCGCCTTTTACTTGTTACCAAAAGAAACCAACGTTACCCTTCAAATAGTAAAAATGTATGGAGTAAAACTGGCTAATTAATGATTAAAGAACGGTGAAGCCGCTGACTCCTCATTTGATTGGAAAAAATTTTTTTGTTTATTTTCACTTTATCTTTGCAAAATTCCTGTGTATAGCCTTACGCCTACCTTTAAGCATGACAAAATCTTGAAAGTTCTAAAATTTTGCAAGCATTTCACGCTGAATGCTAGTTTCTGCTTCTGAGGTTTGTTGTTTTTTAACTTTAATCACAACTGCCCAACAAAATTAACGTGAAACCGCATCAGTCTAACTAGTTGTCCTACTCAGTCCCCAATACTTTTCAGTTTTGAAATGCCAAGACGAAAGCACAAGCGACTTGAAATATTGTACTCAGACTTTAGTCTACCGATGCGAATACCGCGTAGTGGAGGTAAATGGTATAATAGCTTTGAGTTCGGGACTGACAAGCTGTGTTAATCTTTTCAAAACATATGAGGAATTGTTTAAAATAATGGGTGTAAAAAAGAACAGAGAAGTAAACGAAAACCTTCTCGTTCTGGATTCACGTAATTTACAGCACCTTTGGGATGAAAAACGTGAAGAGGTACATTTTCTCGCTTCTTCCCGAATTACAATCAATACCAAAATTAAAGGCTTCAAATCAATCGATTTGAATGCACCACTGTTAGTATGACGGAAACTTTGAGCAGTTTCACTTAAAGTCACCTTTTCTTTTTCATTTTTGAAACACTGCTTATTCCTAAACGGTAAGTATATCGCTGAAAAATGACTTCTTGAGGAATCTGCCGTAGTTGGCTGGAATGGGCAATGCTATAATGTTACGGAACTTTTTGTTTGGAAAGCGTGCTGGTTGATGTATTTTACAGAGCTCCGTAGTTTACAGAATCACAGTAAAAACTCGGAAAATCCTTTAGCCATCAATTCCAAAACAATTTTTTCAGCTGAAGATTTTAAGTGCCATTAAAATATACTGAAAAAATGACTTCTCAAAAGCAAATTTATTACCCTACACGGTTAATAAAAATTTGAAACAGTAAACACTTATTCTAAAGTACCCCAAATAGAGAATCTACTTCCAAAAACTAGACTGGCAACGGATACTCAGCTGCTATTACAGATGTGTAGGTGACTGTGAACTGAGTAACGTTTTCAAATCGGTACCCCGTCTATAAATAACTTCCTGAGCAGCTTTTCTTATCCTGCATGCTGCTGGATTTGACTGGTCCTTCAAAGCAACAACACCCGCTTCATAAAGATTCTTGCCCATCGCGCCCAAACGTCACTTCCATCCTCCTACAAATTACAAACCAAAGAGTGGCAGTCAAGCCAAGCGTCTTGCTAAGATAAGACAAATTCTGGACGACTTAACGACTGAGTTGAAAACCACAAGAAAGTACTACAGGCTTTACATTCCATCCAATACTCACATTCTTTCGCTTATGGCTTGCAAACAATTTGAAATAAACAGGAAATTAGTTTACGGTAAGCAAAAACAGCCAATATAACATTGTATATCAATGATGATAAGCAGTTTACACTGACGCTTGGCGACTGTTGTAAACTTTCTAAGAGAAATGACAGCACCAGTTTCTACAAAACCCACTGAGTGAATATTCTGATCAAGCGCCACTTGCCGTCAAATATGTAACTATTGACAGTGCCTCTACTAGTTAAAAAGTGATTCTTTTGAATAAAGAGCTGCCAGAAACTAGGATTTCTGTGATTGATGTGGCTAAAGATAAAGCATAAATTAACCCATTGCCTCCTTTGCTGAAAAAATTACTTATACTCAATGTAATCTCCTGAAATTCCAGCAGAACGACAAAGTTCTTGGTGATATCCAAAGTCATCCAGTTTTAAATCTTAGCGTGTCACAGCTTCACACACACTTTAGTGTCATCTCGGTGAGAACGATATTGGCGCACCTCAAAACTAGGGCTCCCAATTTATCAAAGGTGGCTCTAGGAACGCGAAAAAAACCTACACGTCAGCCAACTGTTTTCCTCCATTTAATGATATAAGAACCCAACGTAGTTCGACAGCTTGAATCATATTTGTAGTTATCCATTAAACCTCAACAAGAATGGATTTTTACAACCCTTAGGCGAAAAATTTTATTAATCTGTTATAACCAACAACCCCCTCAGCAAAAACTGAGGTTGCATAATTCAATAAATAACCACTTGGACGAAATAAAAATAAACTGCTAATGAAGAATGTGTATTTCATTACAGACCTAACAGAAAAAAGTGAATCAGGAATGGAACAGTTAAAGAAAGAAACAATGTGGTAGCTACTCCGAGACCGCAACCTTGTTAACAAGTTACCTAATACAAGACAGAGGGAACTTCACTGGCAATAAGCATTGCTTTAATGCAATCGAACAAAACTTTAAACTTAAAAATAAACAAACTCAGTCACCTGCAACATACAACAAACTTTAAAACAGTAAGAGGCGTGAAAATAAGGACTCAAAGTATTTTTGTGAAATAGTCAAACCCCTGACCGATCTCCCAAATCCCAATGCCAGCTCCAAAAGCTTTAGCTAAATCCAATCTTTTTGAAAGAGAATTCAACGTTGGATAGTAAGTCATCTCTTGTCTTCTCCTGTAAAAAAATTAACAATTTCTATAATGAGAGGTTAAGACGTTCACTAAAGTTAAATTGTTTTTTATACTTCCAAATAAA